TTTTTTTTTTGCAATTCAATATATTTGGTACAATTCAATGGAGACTAGATCTCCGAACATCACCAAAGAAAGGAGATAAAAAAACGGGAGACAATCCTTCCAAGAAGAAGGTCCCGACATTGCCCTGCTAGCTAGACAATGAGCAACCGAATTCAAGTTTCTACTAATATGGCAACACGACCCACATCCTAAGAGAAACAAAAGAGATCATATATCAACAAAAATATGATACAAAAGGTCGGTTGCGACATATCTAACAAACCACAAACCACCACAAGGGCGTCTGTCTTGGCATATTGAATCGAAAATCTCGCACCGAGAGCAAAACGGAGACCGTATTTTAGGGCTAGGGCTTCGGCAGTAAGAGATGAAAAAGAGCCCGAGATATTAGTAATAAAAGCAGCCCAACACACGCCGTCTGAGTCGTCTATCCATCCTCCTAACCCAATCCTCGAATCGTGGACCGCCGCATCGCAGAATAAAATGAGGCCGTTATTGCATTTTCCCGGGCCGGACCACCTGTCGATTGATGGTTGGTGCAAAAACCAATCTGCCACGACTCGCCTCGATTGAACTTTCTCGACTTCTTCACGCCATGCATTACCAATTGTCCATACTTGCTCAACTGTTCTACCTTTCAAGCCGTGATTAATGCGATTTCGTTCATGCCAAATAATCCACAAACAATGAGCAAATAGTGGAAATTTGTCCCCACGATCACTATCCAGAATCTCACAGAAAATAAACTCAAAGTTCAATACACGAAGACGAGCTAGTGTATCCCACCAACCTGCTAATTTCCAGAATTTTTTCACCCAAGAGCAATCAAAGAAAACATGAACATTAGTTTCCTAGCAAGAACATATGGGGCACTTTGCGTCCACCTGAATATGCCGCCGGACCAAATTTTCGGCAGATGGTATTGCCAAATGAGTTACCTTCCATAAAAACATTTTAATCTTCGGTAAGATATTCATTTTCCACATTTCTTTCCACCACATATCTTTAGAAGAAGACGAAGCTTTCAATTCACCAAATTGTTGTTGCGCCATCAGATGGTAGCCACTCTTGACCGTGTACTCACCCTTTTTGGAATAGTGCCAAATGATTTTATCAGGAAAACTTAATTTCCTGCGAGTCTATTGGCAAAAAAACTCGGTTGATTAAATCTCGATTTCAATCCCCATTCCTCCCTATTAGATCACTAACTCGATCAATACCCTCAAAAGAGTGAGAAATATGCCGAAATCTGTGAAAATGGGGGATCCAAGGGTCCACGAAGACCCTATTGCAATCTGGGAAGTATTTTGCTTTTAGCACTCTAGACACGAGTGAATTCGGTAGAGTTAGAACCCTCCAAGCTTGTTTCCCTAGTAATGCTTGATTAAACATGGAAAAATCTCGGAATCCCAACATGTCTTGTTGTTTTGCAGAGATAATCTGCTCCATTTGATCTAGGACAACTTCCTTTCTCCCTCTCGAGACCCCCACCAAAATTGAGCAACCAGTTGCTGCAATTGGGCATAAATCAATTTTGGAATTCGAAAAAGACTCATAATGTAGGTAAGGATGGATTGCACCACTGATTAATTAGAACTTCACGCCCCGCCGATGAAAAGAGGCTTCGCCTCCAAGAATGGAGACGCTTCCAAACTTTCTCTTGAATAGCTGCAAAGGTCCGACTCTTGTCCCGACCAATCATAGAAGGGAGACCAAGATAGGTTGAATGAGGGGAAGGGGATCGGATGCCCAACCTCGAACATAGCGCAAGTCACACACTCAACGGTGTGTTAGGAGAAAATGAAATAGTCATTTTGTCCAAGTTGATTTTTGGACCTGAAGTTGCTTCATAATTCTCAAAATGTTGAGAATGTTGGTTGTCTCTCTCTCTCTCATTCGCCTTTGAAAAAATAATGGAGTCGTCAGCAAAAAATAGATGAGAAATTGGGGGTCCGAGTCTGCTACATCTGAAACCAGAGATTTTTCTATCTGCTTCTGCTTTGTGAAGAACTGTCGATAAACCCTCTGCCGAGAGGGTCTGACATGACCCACCAGATTACTATTTAATCGAAAAGTGACGTTCACCGTCGAAATACACTGCCAAATCAAGCGACGGAATCGTGGAGGGAACCCTTTCTTTAGTAACATCAAAGCAACAAAGTTCCATTCTATGCGATCATATGCTTTACTCATGTCCAATTTTAACGCCATCCAGTGAGAGCTCCCAGTGTCTTTCTTCGACGTTGAGTGGAGCATTTCGAAAGCTAAGATTGCATTATCCATGATGAGACGATTGGGAACGAAAGCACTTTTATTCGCTGAAATAAGAGGACTAAGTACTTTTTTCATTCTGGTCGCAATCGTTTTTGAAATTATTTTATAAAGAACTGTACACAAGCTAATTGGTCGGAAGTCCGTCATTCTTTTTGGTTGCTTCTTTTTTCAGAATCAGAACGATAATTGTGTCATTAAAGCCCTCTAGAGAACCCCCATTATTGAGAATATTGAGACAACTTGAAAGAAGATCCGACTTCGGAAGCTCCCAATGAGTCTGATAAAATATAGCATGAAACCCATCAACTCCTGGAGCTTTATGGGGGCCAATACTCATTAAGGCATCATGGACTTGTTTTTCCGTGTATGGTTCGTCTAGCATTGTAGCCTCATCTGGAGATATGCAACCAACCGCACTATCGGTCATCTCAACAATTTGTGCCATCGTCGATCGTGAACTGGAAAATAGATTTGCAAAGAAAGTGGATACATGCTTATTAATATGATGCTCATTCGTAAGCCATATTCCCTATTCATTTATCAGCTTATCAATGCGATTGAGGCGATATCTGGCTTTTGCTCGAGCATGAAAAAATCTTGTATTCGATCTCCCTCCGAAAGCCAGTCAACCCGTGCCCTTTGTATCTAAAAACTCACTTCGCGACAAATAAGCCTCTAAACCTCCGATTCAAGGGATTTGATTTTATCCATGTGGTTTTGTGAATCTGGAGAATCATAAAGTTGTTGGAGTTGCTTTCCTTTTTCATGAAGGATATGTTTCCACCCCGTGAAGGATTTTCTGCTCCATTCCTGCAACCCTTGACTACAATCTAGCAATTTGGATTTGAGCTGGAAAGTAGACATGTCACTTCCTTGTGGGTGTTCCTCACGCGACCAACAATCTTGGACAATGTCAAAATAAGAATTTTCTCTTAACCAAAACGGTTCAAACCTAAACTGACGTGATTTAGGGTGACATGCGCGTTTGGATCGAGCCTGAAGTTGAACATAAATAGGTCGATGATCTGATGAATAATAAGGACAATGTTCTATCCACGACTCTGGAAACAGACTCATCCAGTCTTCCGAGCCCAAATATCGGTCAATACGCACTTGAATATTATCCGTACCCTTTCTCTTGTTATTCCACGTGAAAAGATTACCCTGGAAATGAATATTGTTAACAAAACAGTCATTTACAGACCAAGTTCTGTAACGACTTCACCGTGCGAGGATTCCCCAAACCTCGCACGTTCCAGCAAAGGCAACTCATTGTGTTCGGCGTCTCTGCTGAGCAGAGGTCGCCGCTTCTTGATTCGAAGAGAGATCTTCGAGCATTTTTTCGTCATCCTTCCACTTTTACAAGATCCCACGATTGGAGAAACCAATTTGCTTGAATTCGTTTTCCATTTCTACCCTTTACGTGAGCTGCCCTTTGATAGACTAGTCGATTTAGCCTGCAACGCGCAACTTCTGATCTCGGGTTGGCCTTGATCAGAATTCGAGTGTCCTCGATTTCTAGCCTCCTTATGACTCGGTGAACCTTCGTTTATGTAATGAACTGGGCTATGGATAGAATTTTTACCAGCTTGAGCATATTCAGAAACAATGTAGAACATCAGCTGAAATAGTTAACTTCTGTTTTCCCTCCCCTTTGCTTACACTGGGGTCGCTTGAGTGTTGAGGACTAGCTGTATTAGACGAAAAAAAATTTGACCGCCCCTGCTTTTGTCTGAGGATAAGAAGTAAAGCATGCAGCCAGTCCCCATACTTGCGGTTAGCTTCAAGGGGTTGACCATCCATCTTTTTTGGACACTCGCACATCCTATGCCCGAGTAAGTTGCAGTTGAAGCAAAAATCCGGTAGCTTCTCATATTGGATAGGAATAGTATATTCTTCATCCAATGCGCCTCCAAGTAAACTCGAAGACGCCTTCTAAGCGGTTTAGAGATATCAATTTTAACTTTAGCTCGAGGTGTAATGCCTTCAGTATCCACATCGATAATCTCTCCCAAATGTTGCCCCACCAACCGAACACACTGTTCCATATGACAAGCCAACGGCAGATTAAGAAAGTGCACCCAGAAGGGTATGGTATGAAAGTCCATGGCACTTAAAGCTCCAGCCCCTTGAGGATTAATCAGAGATATAACCTTCTTATTGAAGAGCCAAGGACCTCCATTTAATACCCGATTTCTATCATCTTCAGACTCGAAATGGAACCAGAAAATGTTATTGACTCCTTTCTATATAAGTTGGTGTTCATGTGTGCATTGAATTAATGTTTGGCGTTTTGACTATGTTAATGTGCTTTCATTTTTTTATTTTTTATTTTTTTTCTTCTTTCACAACACAAGTTTTCACAACACAAGTTTTAGGACGAATTATCCTAACAATTAGTCGGGTCGAGTATGAATTAAAATTAAGGTGGTTATTAGAGATGCAGGATTTCAGGGCTAATGAAATCCAATTGCACGACTTTATTTTTACTATTAAATTACCCCTCCCCCCACCCAAAAAAAAAATTAAAAAATAAAAAATTTTCAGATTACAACAAATTACTCACTATGTGGGAGCCAACAACCAATAAGACAGCTCAATGTGGGGCTATCCCACATTGGAGCCATGTAGGACAATCCCACATGGAGATGTCCCATTAGCTGTTGGCTCCGATGGCTCCGAGCCAACAGTTGGCTCCTTAGCATTATTGAGTATGCATATACATATTTTTAAGTTTATTTTTTACATAAATCTATATATATATTAAAGCGGAGCAGCTGCCAAATTCCCGCTCAAAATCTACATTAAATGTTTGCACATTATTTGATAACTAATCTCTACTTAAATTTTGCATTAAATT